ACCTGCTCTGGCTGTGTGTCTCCCATCCAACCTCTGGGGGGCTCTTCCTGCCCTCCTGGTTCACCACCCTTTAACCCAGTTCCTCTCCCCTCCCTGTCCTCACTGCTCAGCACCTCTCATGTCGGTGCCTAGAGCACACACAGGCTAGCATACGCACGCACACACAGACATGCATGCACAACGCACACGCCAGCAGCCAGAGGTCTGGGCCATTTCCAGCAACAGCCCTTATACACCTCGCTTTATCCATGGGCCCCTCCCTCCCATTTCATCCCTCTGCTTTCCCTGTTCTGGTCCTCTGCCTTCTCTTGGTGGGTCTTCAGAGGGGCTCCAGAAGGCCTTACCCTCTCGCCTGACCCCTTGACTCGGCTGGGTGACCACTCCATCATTTTCACTCTTTCCGCAGTGCTGAATGCCAATGTCCTTATCACCTCTCACCTGCACTGCATCTTGAGGCTGTCCTGCTCCTCTTTGCTCTCCCCAGCACCACCCAGGGGCCCCTGCAAACCACATATCTAAACTGCAGGCCCAGTGGTGCTCTTGGAGGGCCCACGATGACTCCCCACGGAGAAGTTCAACCCTTGTTAGGCCCCGACTTGACTCCACCTGCCTTCCAGTCCTGTCTCCTGCTATCCTACACCCCAGGCTCTGGCGAGGCGCTCTTGCCTAGGCACACCACCCTCTGTGCCTCTGGCAGGGACCAGGACGCTTTGTTAGGCTGCGATGCTTCTCTGCTAGACCCCCGCACATCACACTCCTGCCACCCTTCAAGGCTCTGACATCTGAAGGCCACCAGCAACCCTAGGAAGTCTTCATGGAGTCTCTTCCCATAACCGCCACCTGCATTTTTGTGGCTACCCCAGGTCCAAAGTCACTTTTGTTTACTTGGACAGTGGATCAGGAGGCCCAGTTGATTGGGCCCATGTATCCCATGTACTCCCCCGGGGTCTGCATGTCCTCTCCCAGAGTGGGAGTCACCTTGTGCCGCCTGTTTATGGTGGGTCTCCTCCACTAGACTGGGACTCTTAGGGCAGGGCCAGGACAGTCTCGTTTGCACCTTATTCTGTATCTAGACCAGCGCCTGGTTTACTACATGAAACTGACCTCCAGGGCTCTCTACTTCTGCTGTGGACTGGACACTTGAAGTCCCCGCTCCCCAAATTCCTAAATTGTCCCATTAGTTTCCAATGTGGTGGTGATTAGAGCAGGAGTCTTTGGGGGGAGATTAGGCCAGAAAGAAGAGCCCCCAAGGGGGGATTAGTGCTTTTACTAGAAGGGAGAGGAGACTCTGTTCCTCTCTTTGCTGTCTCCCTATTAGGTGAGAACCCTGAAAGAAGGTAGAAAAGCATAACCATGCTGGCTGATCTTCAGTTTCAGACAAAATAACATTATTTCTCAATAAACACTTGCTTTTTATACGTTAGTCCATCTATGGTATTGATTGATGCACCCCAAGTTCACTAAGACAACTCCCTTACCTTTTACAGGTCTTCCTGTCCAGGGCCAGGGACCCTGCTGCTGGCCCCTGATACGGGCCCGGGTCCCAGGTTGAGTCCTGAGATGCTGAGCCTGGATTCCGAAGTGTCAGATAGGTGTCTCACCTCTGCTCCTTAGCTGCATGGGGGTGTAAAACACTGCACCTCTCTGAACAGCTTCCTCGGCTGTGGTACCCCCACTGTATGCGGCTGCTGCACAGTTCAGTGAGGGAGTGGAGCTGAGGCATCTGGCAAGCTGTAGTGTGCTCTCTAAACGTTGGGGCCTTCTTGCAGCCTCACCCACTCTTGGCCGTGCTTTGGAAACCTGCCCAGATGCCAGCTACATGGGCTCCAGCTACTGCTTGGGCCCACAAGGACATCCTAGAAAGTACTTTTGTCACCCCCCTGCATTAACAGTTCAAAATCTCCAGATACTTCTGATTTCTGAGCACACGATGATTTTCTCCTTCAAAATTCACGTAAGAAGAAAGGTTTGAATGGCAGTGGAGACTGGCAGAAGTTGGACTTCATTGTGAACCAGGGGATGAGGCAGAGATAGGAAGTGGGAAGAGAGTGGATAGCTGTAGCCAGCTGGTGCTCTTCCAGGTAAGTCTACCTGTCCTGGCCTCAAGTAGTCCCCTGGGGTTTGGCTGGTCCTGCACCCTTACAGGCTTCAGCAGAACCAAGCCACAGCTTGGAACACCAAGGATTCAGGTCGACCTTCTTTCTCCCTGGAGACTGCAAGTATGGCGGGAAGAGCCAGGCCAGAGGTTAAGCAGCGCTGCTCTAAGCTCTGTTCTGCAGCTTTGCAAACACAGTCCCTTTGTTAGAGCATGTTTCTTTATCTATAAAATGGGGATCATTTTGATGAGAAGCCAGATCAAATGTGATCCTTTATGGAAATCTCCAACACAGTACTACTTCCTACTGCCAGAAAATAAGCAAAGACAAATGATTCAGAAAACTAAAGTGTTGGAATAGATTGGAAAAAAAAATCACAGCAAAAACAACCAACAACACTGCCCCAAAGGACAAACCACCCACCACAAGGCAGGCTGAAAAACTTGCCATGGGAATGAGGATTTGGGGGAAGCACAAAAAAGAGATCTCCTATAGGATTATATCGGGAACAATCACATACCAGCCTCTCACTACTGAGTAATTTCACAATTTTCCCTGCGGCCTATTATATGGAAAATTCTTACCACTAGGATGAAAAATGTTTCTGTTGAGTGATATGCACCCACAGAACGCCACTGAGAGAGAGGACTTCTCTGGAAGCATGTCCTCCCATCAGTCACCCACCTATACCTCCACGTAGATTTTCTCCTCTGTCTCATTTATCTTTAAGAGACACATACATGTGGCTTCATGTAACAAATGCTCACGCAAGTGGATGCAGTGGGGGCTCCGTGGGGAGTCAAGAGTCCAGACTTTGGTGGAGAACTTTCCTGGTTGAATCCATGGCTCTCTGCCTTGTATTATTGAAGTGGCATGTTGGGAGAAACGTTTAAGCTGAAAAACACTAGTACTGACCGACTTGTCTACCTCAAAGAAGGTTGTAGAGATGAGACACAGTGTGTAAAGTGCCTAGTGCTAGTGTTACCACGTAAGGTCACACATACACATAAATGCTCTCCCACCTACCCAGTGTATCCGTATTCACATACACGCCAGCCGACACCAGCAGCTGCCTTCACGCGTCCATGCCAGCCAGAGACACAGCCCCTGCATACCTCGGCTCCATAATCTAATGGAGAGGTGAGAAAGAACATTTCTGCTAGAGCTGGGGCCCTGTGACAGCATTTCTGGGGGAGGAGATGGTGGACTCTTGGAAGTGTGGGGCATCTGATGTGGGTTTCAAGTGAAAGGCGTCAGGATCAGGTAAAGTGTGGTCACCTGGAGAATATGATTTGCAGACCCCAAGCCTGTGACCCTGCGCCCCAGCTGCTGTGCACGTGTCTCCAAAAGAAAGAGGGTGTGTGGTGGGGAGCATCTCTGCTGTGACTTTGGCTCTAGGGCGCTCTCATGGCCTTGCTTCAAGGACACTTTTACCTCACTTTGCCCCCCCGCTTCTCCCCTCCCACATTTGGGTCAGACTTGTAACATGGTACCCCAGCTCCCAGCCTCTCCCGGCTCACTTCCCATTTTCTTTTGGATGTTTCCAAGTGCTCTCCTGCTGAGTTTAATCCTGTCTCGGTGTGTGCCTCTAACAGCACAGGGAGTGTGCAATGCCGGGTCTCAGAGGCTCCTGGGAGTAGGGAGTCCCAGGGGAGAGAGCCCATGTGTGCTGGGCACCACCAGCCTGCACAATCACGCTGCACAGCAGCGCCCAGTAACATCCCAGTAAGGTGAGGAGACCAAAGTCTGGAAGGCTCTATGACCTCCCCAAGGTCAAAGGATCAGAAAGCAGCACAGCCGGTCACAACTCCAGGCTTCCTGAATGCCAAATCCTTGCTCGCTTTTGCTCTTTGTGGCCCATGGAGCACCTGACTCGCATCTTTCACGAGCCTGACACCTCATCCTCGGCTTCCCTGTGACCTGCAACACATGCTTACCAGCCCCACTTCACACCTGAGAAGCCGAGACTCGGAGGGGCAAGGTGACTGTTCACAAGTGGCGGGGTGGGGATTGGAAGCCAAGGGCCCTTTCCAAGCCCGTTAGTCCTTGCAAAAAAAAAAATTTGCCTGCTCTTCTCCATTTCTCATATTCTTTCTTTTCCTGGGAACAAAGTCCCAGGGTGAGGGAGGGCCTGACGGTGCAACCTGGGTTTCGCCTGGGAGTGTGTGGAGAAGCTCCTGCTCTGCTGTTGGACACCTACCCACTGAGCCTTCTTCCTTCTGACTTGCAAGTGCTCTAGAGTTTCTGTGCTCACAATGCATCTCTTTGGAAGTCTGCCCTCCGAGGGTTGCCATGGTGACTATTTTGGTACTGCATGCTAGAAAAAGCCGAGGCACCTGCTGGTCACACCACCAAAACTTGTCTCTCTGAAAAATCAGCAGATGGCATTTGTCAGAAATTCCTACTTCTTGATTAATTTGGGAAAAAGAAGAGTGTATGGAAGTGTTGATAGCCCTGGGCTGGTGGAGTCGGTGGCTTGGGGAAAATGTGAACTATCTGGACACAACCCCATCGGCTTCCTCTGAAGAGGTGGGTCATTTTGTTTTCTCAGAGAGGTTAAAAGTTTGGTGATTTGAATTCTGCATCGAAGTAAAAGGAAGATCATGAGATTGCCTCCATAGTAAGAGGGACTGGGATTTCAAAGCCAGTTCTGGAAAAACCTTTACCTGGCTCTAGTAACTTCCATAAATTCTCAACTGTATCTCAGGTTTGGGTCAAGCTTTTAATTTACATGAAGTGAAAATATACCAGCTTTGATATGAATCCCAGCAGTGCCACCTATTAATTGGTGACATTGGACCAGTCCCTCGCCCCATTTAAACTTCAATTTTCCCATCGATGAGCCAGTGGTGATAATGGTTCTTACCTCACGAGATTATAATGAGGGTTATATATATTATTATATAATAATAACGACAATTATTGTTTTATTGTTATTAACTGGAATTAAATTTAGGCACAGAGGACTGACTAATCCACATGCTTATGTAGTCTTTACATTATAGCTGTGCTCATGAAAATAAATCAATTAAGGTCACCAACTCAGGCTAAGAAGTAATACAGTTTGGAGCAATATAAAAAAAACCCAGATCTTCTGGGTACATGGTGTACATGTGTCTCTAACTTAATTATCTGGTTCTGCTTTTCTAAGAATTTATTTCCACCATCCTGGTTCTCACAAAGCTCTTTTCGTTGTTTGCAATACTGTTTGCTTCCAATGTTATTTTGCACATTCTGATAGTAGGGATGTCCTGGCTGCCTCAGTGTACACTGTGACCATCTTAATTTGGGGCAAGCTATTTTTAAGGGTCTTCTATAGAATGGGGCACGTAGTTTCCCACCATCTTTCCACCTATTGTTTTCTAAGGAGAATGAGGCTCCTGTTCCACACTGGCAGTTTGCTTCTATAATAAGGCCTGGTAAATCAGGGCTGGCAAAATTTGAACCATCACACCCCTCCTGTGGTCCACGCAGACATTGCTAATCAACTGCAGCACTCTTGCCTTCAGGAAGCACCTGAGAACCCTTTTGAAGACGATGCTTAATTGCTGATCGGTCAGCGTTGGCAAGGAAAGGAAATGTTTTCCCTCCTGTAAGACACAGAACCCTGGAATGGAAAGCAAGAATGAGAATTCTCATACCAAATCTAATACCAAAATGATCTGTATGAACTTTATTTGAAATGAGCTGAATAAGAGAGAGAGCTAAAAAAATCTTTAATTCCGCTGGTTTCGCCTCCACCCCCTACCCTGCACCACATGCACAGTCTCTCATCAGGTGGCTCTCAACACCCATTACAGGCTCTGATCTGTTCCTTTCCTGGAATGTGTCCAAGTGATCAGATTTTATCAAACATCCTGGGGTGGCCAAGTACTAAATAAAGCATCCTCAGATGCTAAGACTCACCCAATCATATAGCATGTCTGAGCTAAAGTCACCCTAGTGCATGCTGAGCTAAGTCCTCCATATTAAAGACGAGGAAGCGAGAACACGGAAAGTTGAGTGACTTCCCCAAGGTCACTCAGCAAGTTAACGAGTTGACCTGGGCCTGCTCTGGGGACCTGTTAGGTCTGAGATTAGGCATTGCCATGAAACTTACCACTGAGGAGGGTCACATGGCTCCTAGCCAAGGACAAGTCAGGAAAATGCAGGCTGTTGGGTTCTCTGGAAGGTGGAACAGACCTGGAGCAGGTGGGAGGTGGGTGAGGAAAGCTAGTAGGGTACTGAGCCAGGGCACAAAGGCCATGCTGTGTGAGTTGAGGGGGGGTCTTGGTTCCCCTCTGGGCCTCACTTCTCATATTCATAAAGATCTGATTGGGCCATCACTGGTCCTCAAGTCTGACTGAGCAGCACCCTACCCATGACTGGTAGACCAGAAGCCACAACCCCTGAACTTGCAAGTCCCTTGGCCTGGGGGTTTCAGCATCTATACTTTAGCACAAAGCACTAAGCCCTAACTGCAAGGTGAACTAGCAAAATGAGCTCTGCTTTTACCTCAGGGTGGCTGACTCAACATGCAATTTCTCTTTACAGGAGGAAGCTGTTCAAAAGATACCAGCAGCCCACAGGTGATTTGAATCTGTAGCCAGGTGTAGTGGGTGAAAGGTGGTCCCCTCAAAATGCATCTGTCTAAATCCCTGGAATCTGTGCATGTTACCTTATTTGGAAAACAGGTCTTAGCAGAAGTTAAGGATATTGAGATGAGATTATCCTGGCCCATCCAGGTGGACCCTAAAGCTAACAACAATAGGGAAGCAGAGGGAGAGATGATGTAGCTAGAGGAGAAGAAGCCACTCAAGAAGTGTTGTTGGACTCCCAGGTGTTACCTGTAGGAGAAGACCAGGGCTCTGGAGTTGAGCATGGTGGCAGAATTGGTGGCCCTGAGCGAGGGAGAATCTCTTGCAGTAAGCTTGGTGCCTTCGTGACTATAACTTCGAAGTAGAAAAGTTCCAGCAAATTGTGGACTGCTGGTATCCTTTGCTTCCTCCTGTAAAGAGAAATTGCATGTTGAGTCAGCCACCTTGAAGTAAAATCAGAGCTCACTTTGCTAGTTCACCTTGCAGTTAGGGCTCAATCAGGGGACCTGGCCCCCACCAATCTCAGACGCGCCCATGGAAGAATTCCATTCAGAAGTGGGACAGGGAAAGGAGGCTGCTCTGAGCTTCCCATTGACCAGAGGAGCAGAGGAGGTGGGCAGCCTTGGGGGTGCAGAACCTCAAGTTCAGTGTTGAGCACTCAGCGTCTTTGGTGAAAGCCCAGATGTCCATGCCCAGGCTGGTGGGGAGTCTTTGCAGGTGTAATCTCTCCATGATTGGTTTAAGCATTTTCCTGCCTGCCTGCCTGCTGTCCTCTTTGGCTGTCCTAGGGATTCTGCGAACTATCAAAGATTCTATAATAAATTCTCTTTTCACTGAAATGAGCGAGGGTGGTTTCAGTTGTTTATACCAAGAGTCTTGACTGGTGCACCAACCATGAAAGGAAAGGAAGTTCTAAATATAAATGCCACTTTGCAGACACTTGTTAATCCTCTCCTCTCCTCCGCCCTCCTGCCTTTCCTCTGTCATGCCTGTCAAACTCATCAACCTAGTGCATCATTGAAGCATTGTGGGACCTGTGAAAAGGGATATGTTGGCTCTAAATTCCCACAAAATGACACTGATTGTTTGAAAACGCTTACAAAGAGGCACTGCTCTTCCACGGGGAAGTAACACTCACAAGGATTTGTGAAGGTTGCCAGGAACGGAGTCAAGGAGGGTGCAAATGCCCTTTGAACTCCTTCTGCTCTCGCCTGCCTCATTCTAGAGTTTAAAATATCAGCAAGATGAATGTAGGAACATTTCACTGGTTCATATCTGAACTTGAATGAAGTTGATTTCCAGGTTGACTGGTTCTCTCCCTACATCCCTCCTTGGAAAGATTTGTGCTTTGCAGCAAGAAGTACCTACAGATTCACTTGCTCAGAAGGACCTTCCATGCAATGACAAAGTGATCACAGACTATCCAAAACAACAACAACAAACAAACAAACAAAGGGGTAGGAGGGAAACAGAGCAGCATAGCCAAGCAGAGGTTGAAAACACTGGAGGGAGTTCTCTTTGTCCCAACAGCAAATGGCAATTGTTCATGCAACTCTGGGTCATGTATCCCACAGGAGATGGTGGTGGATCGAGCGTGGACCCAGACAGACCTGAATTCAAGTGCAGCCCTGATGGCCATCGGGTGTGTGACCCCTGACTGCTTGAGCAGGCTGCACACACACATAGAGTTTGCACTGTTTGTGATAGTTGTGTTCTGTGAAGTTGCTGGGGATGTCGTATTAACAATACCGGCCTGCTCTTCCTAGGGGAATCACAGCCTCAGTCAGCCTCTGGCCACAACCTCTTCATCAACTGCACAGCTCAAACTTGCCTCCTGTGTGTCTCTGCTCAAAGATCCCTTTTTCATGTGATTGTTGATTCACTAACATTGAACTAGGGGCCAGCAGCACTCTCATCCGTGGGAGGAAGCTCATCTAACACATGTATTTTCTCTGTAAGGCACATCATCGCCTACTTCTGCCCTCTGCCCGGGGACATTTTAAACAGTGAAATCACTAACAAAAAAAAGGACCAGAATATGAAAAGCATGCACACAACAGCCCGTGAAAAGGACACTTGTTTATAGTGCGAGAGCTGAAATGAGAAGGCAGAGCGTCACCCTGGTTGACCGCAGCTGGAAACGGGGCAACAGGAGACTCATGATTCAGCTCGGCCCGTGTGTGCGAGACCATAAAAGTGCTGTGAGCAATGATTTTGGGGATATGAATAAATTCTAACCAGCAGGCGGATTCACATACATAGAATCTAAATAATGAGCATGAACTACCTGTAAATATATACATTACTACGTCTGTTCAGATGGCTTTTGTCAAGACCACATGTGTAGGAAAATACATCGGAAACATAAGGCATTATAGGAGTGAGTGTAGTGGCTACATTGCCTGACAGGTCCCGGCTCTTTCTTCAGCTTCAGCTCAGGTATCTCACTTCTTCCAGGAAGTCCTGCATTTACAATTAGGCGAGGACATAATTGTAGATACCAACCAGAACAGTTCCTGAGTTGCCTGGGTGAGGAAGAGGGAATTCATAGCCTCGCGGGGCAGTTGGCAGTTTTAAGGAAATATCTGTAATGGTTGGGAAAGTTCTGGAAGAGGTGACATCATTATTCGTAAGCTTTTCACAAACCTATTCTCTCCCCTCCACTCTCCTGTTGCTGCTTAATGGCAGGAACCAGCTCTTACTCATCTTGGTTTGCCCAGCACCACGGAGGTGCCCAGTAAATATTTGCTAGTTTGGTTTGATTCAAATGGAATATAAGGACTCTTTCATAGGGTGCTCGGTGTGTGAGCTAATGATTTCTCTAGTGTGGATTACAAGCCCTAAGGGTCTGTTATTGTTTCTGAAGTTGGAGCCAGAAATGACAGTCTCTGCTTAAAGATGTAAAAATGCTCAAAATAGAAATGATATTTATTGTAGGCAAATTTGCTAGATGTGGGCTCCTTTGGTATCTGGGTCATTTACAACTGGCTACCTTGGACTCTTGTATTTTCCAAAAAAGTTCCTGGCTGCTCTGTTTCCCTGAGTCATGAACTGAAAATGCAAAATGAAAAAGCAGATTATATCTGTGCAGCGAAAGCCCCACAGGCTACATGTCCGGGCTTGCGTGCCTCCCACTCTGCGTGGCTCACCCAGGGGAAGGAAGAGCACGTCACTCACCCCTATTTGGGACTTTCTACGTCACAGGCACGGTCCTCTCACTAAGTGAAAGCTGCTCCCCAGAGCTTCCTAAACTCCCCCTGCCTCCCCAGCCAGGGCATGAGAGGTCTCTCTGCCTGAAGAAGGTGCTTTAGAGATCACATATCACAGAGGCAAAGGCAGTTTCCTTTAAGCATCACCCTAGGCCCCTCTCAGCCGGGGATAGGCATGAGGCCCTTGGTAGCCTGGATGGGGCTCAACGTGCACAGGAAAACTGGGCCACAGGCTGGTGGGCCCCATTTCTGCAGCCACACTGCACCTCTGAGGCAGCTGGCTGGACAGTGAACAGGACTGCAGATGGCCAGCGCCACACAAGTGATCAGGCCCCGGAAAGAGAGCATCTCCCTGGACCAGCGACCCATGATGAGGACGCAGCTGGAGACGTGGTCAAGCCCAGAGCCCTTCACCGTGAAGCGTAGCTGTCAGATCTCTGTACACAGGAAAGACAACTGACCATGACCAGTGGCACAGAACCCTCCTATGCAGGGGGACCCCCGCAGGGGATCCTGCTTTTTTGGGGCGCACAGTCTGACATCCAGCGAGCATGTGCACCCATTGACATTTCACCGAGGCTCTTTGAAATAGGCAAATTCTTGTCCTGCTTTGCCCATGTTGTTCACATTTAGTCCATTCTTCCAGGAGTTGCTTAGGAAGTTTGCAAAGGCCTATGAGAAACATGTTTTGGTGGGGAGAGACTGTGCTGGTAAAGCTGTGTTTATCCACCCAACCCTGTGAGCACTTCTGTCCCATCTCCCCCCTCCATGTATGCCTTGGGAGGTGGTGGGGGCAGGGGCCGGGAGGACCAGGGAATAAATATAGCCAAGTCTGGGCTCAACTTCCGCTCAGCCACTTGCTACCAATGTGTCCTGGCTAATTAAGTTCTCCAGCCAGTTTCACCATCCGCAAAGGGGAATGGTGGACCTGGCCGGGAAAGGTGAAGTGAGAAAATGTTAAGGGTATGGAAAGGGTGTGGAAACAGGATGGTCCTTCCCTAGCAAGTCACGTCCAGTCAACAGCACAGTGCTGGGGCCCATGGGACTGGGCCTGTGTCCTGAGAAAATTCCTTGCCCAGTCAGGGAGATCTGACAGGTGGAACAGCACCTCTGGCTAAGCCAGAGGGACAGAGCTCTGAAAGGGATGAGGACAGGCCGCACCCAGAAGTTTCCCTGCAAGGGGAGATTTGAATGACTCCTTTGTGACTACTCAAACTTGGCCATCAAGGGAACAGGAAAGCAAAGCACAGAGCTTGCAGAGGGAAAGGCCACCACATAGAATGAGTAGGTGGTGGGGCTGGAAGGGAACTATTAGTTAGATTAGGGATTCATTTCCTTGTCCCTGAATGGGAGCAGTAAACAAGTTCTCTAAATGGACTGCTGCACAGACCCTCAAGGTGGGAGAAAAAGCCAGTCTGAAAAAGCCAGTCTGAAAAGTTCTTCTTTTTTTTTTTTT